GTGTGTGTGTGTGTGTGTGTGTGTGTGTGTGTGTACGTACTAAAGAGAGGGAGAGGGAGAGTCTAAATATCTAAGGCTGCAGCTCAGATAGCTTTCCTGTAATTTACTGAGAGTGAATTGAGTGTTTGCTTAAGAAGTCAGTCAAAATCCTGAGGTAAAGAGAAAGTGACAGCATCTACTGCTCTATTGTTTCCAGATGTGGCTCCGCTAACACATATATACAGTATGCACGCATATACACAATTCATACACAAACAGGCACGTTCACACACATTCACACAACACAGACAGAAAAAAACGAGTCTGAGGAGTTCAGTACTTTCAGATTCATACCCTAAATGGTCTTTTTATATGCGAGTGCATGATTAAGCACACAACATGATGTAGCTGTGTTCGTTGCAACGTCTCAGTTCACATTTCTCGCTGAACGCCACAGGTCATTGGTCTCTAGGCTTCTCCCTGCAGGCAGTGGTTTCACTGTTTCTGCAGCCGTGCACAGATACAGTTACTCGTCTCAAACTAAATTCTTTACCAGCGAACAGCAGCTCGGCCTAAATGCTGATTTTCCAGGCTTAAAAATAATAGAAAATTACACCTCAGACTTTACGTCTTACTCACAAATGACAGCTTTACATTGTACGTCATGGATATCTGCTCATGTGGTGACATTAAGACAACCAGTTCACACACACATGCACAGTAACACATGCACACTTTGTTCCCTCTCTTTCTTCACTTCTTTTTTCTTTGCAAAGCTGAAATGTGAAAGGGGCTATTAAAATTCCTTGGACTAATATTCCTGGGAATGTATTTTCAGAGCAGGGTTCCCTTGTGTGTAATTGTGTATGTAATGTTAGTGTGTGTTTCCATGCATGGCAGTGTGTGAGGAGACTGGAGGGAAACAGAAAGGCTGAAATAAGGAGCCACAGATACAGAAAATCAGAAAAGGAAGAAATGAAGAAAAAACTAAATACAGAGGTGAAAATAGAGCAGGAAGAGTAAAGTGAAAGGTCTGAACAAGAGGAAGCGAGTAAAATGAAATTTGTCAACCTCCAGCAGCAGGATGCTGCAGCTGTTCCCTCTCAGCAATGTTGAAATCGTTTTCCCATTCTGCTCAGTGTCTGTGCTGTATGACTGTAGTTTTGAGTAATGGCCACCACTGGGGATTGGGGGTGACGTAGTCATCTTGGCCTAAGAGCCAATTTGGTGTGAGAAGGATTAGTAAATCCTGATTCTTGGGCCAAACAAGCTTAGAGAGTAGAGAGTGAAATTGAAAAGCTCAGCCAAGAGAGCGAGGCTGGAGAATTATTCACCTTCCAGGAGCTTGTGCTGCACGGCAGGGGGCGTGAGAGGTTCAGTTCAAACATTTCCTGTATGTTTAAGTAAGTCAGGTCAGATACTT